ATTTGTCGCAGGAAATGTTCTTGCTCAAGGATGTCTTCAGCAATGCCCTGATGCGGCCACCAAGGCAACTCCGAATGGTCGGCAAGGGCAATTGGAGGGTGGTGTATGGGTATAATGAGAAGATGGTCATCAAGCTTGCGGATGCTCCGCACGGCAATGAAGCGCTGATGTCCACCTTGTTCCCGTCCATTACCGCTGAAGTGGTCTGGCAAGGCAAAGTGCATGTTGCTATGCAAGCTGGCCCTGCCACTGAGCTGGTCACTTTTTACGGCCTGGTGCAAAAGCGCTCTGAGCTTGCTGTGGAGCGCTTTAAAAGCATGGGCAAAGAGCAGATCAAGGAGTTCCTCTTCTACGTTGGGGCAGTCCTAACGTGGGTGGAGAGCAAAAACGTCTCAATCTGCGATGTTGGGCCCAGCAACCTGGCTGTAAACCCGGCGTATGCCGACCCGCCACGCCTTCTCCTTGTGGACACACAGGATTGGTACCAGGCAGGGGCACAGCGAAAGAAAGGTTTCTCCGGGATGCTGCGCTTAGCTTACAGTGTATGCCCAGAAGATCTGGTCAGGCCTCAGAAACCACTTCCCTAAGCCGTTTGCAGCCTTCGCGGCGGAGGCGCCGGCCTACCACCATGTCTTGCGTCAACAGGGCTGTGCCATCCACAATGGCGAACTGGCCACCACCTTCAACAGTGGCTGCTAAGTGCACCCTGGCGTTGTGGTTGCCACACCCAGGGGACACGAACGAAGCAAGCCCCGGAGCAGTGGATGCCACGCCCAGAGGCTCGGCTACCTTGGTGCCCACACACAGCTCAGCTTCGAAACCTGTTTCAGCTACTGCAAAGCCCACGCTGGAGCTGTGGTTGCCACACCCAGTTTGCAGGCTACCGACTTCACAGCTTTCGCCAACCCGGCCACTCCTGCTGCAGGTGACCCACCACTGTTACTGAGCAGAGCTGTGGTTGCCACGCTCTACCGTACGGACGTGGTTGCCACTCCGCGTAGGAGCAGCCGTAGGTAGGGCGACAAGTAGGAGGCTCCGCTTCACCCGACACAGGGTCTTCTGAGCAGCCTACGGACCCGAAGGCTTCCCCATGCAAAGCATGGACAGCCCGGGTCTAATTAAGTGCATGGACGACTAACAGGCCCACGGGTCGCAGGACTTCGTCCGCGGTTTGCTGAAAAGTTTGCTCCTTTCTGGTTTGCCCTTGAGTGTCTGACATGCACTGATGCATGAGAAAGGGTTTTCACCTTCTGCTGATAACTAGTTGTTTCTTTTCCACTTGAACAAGCATGTGTCATGGTGAACGCATGTTTGCACATGATGTGCCGCTGGTTTGGGAATAGGATGAGCGTTTACTGCACTAGAGATGCTTT